AGTATTTAATTATATTTTTTATTATAATTTAAACTCAATTAAATTTTATTTAAAAATTTTTTAAATATAATAGAAGGTAAGTTATTTTTTTGATTATTAGTATTTAATTATACTTATTACTATAATTTAAACTCAACTAAATTTTTATTTATAAAAATATTTAAATATATGATTGTAAGTTATTTTTATTGATTATTAATATTTAATTATACTTGTTACTGTAATTTAAAGTTAACTAAATTTTTTATTATAATTTATATTCAATTTTATTTTTTATTTAAAATATAAATATTATTAAAGGGAATAAGTTATTTTTATTGATTATTAGTATTTAATTTAATTTTTTATTTTTACTTAGGTATAATTAAATCAATAATATAAAATATTTATTAAATATTTAATAAATATATTTATTAAGTAAAGTATTATAATTATAATATTTAAAGCTATAATAAAATAATAATTATTATATTAATACTATAAAATTATTATTTAGAAAAGAATTTTGCTTAAATTGTATAAAAAAATTACTGGATTTAACTGGTATAAAGAATGTTATTCTAATTCATTTTAGCAAAATTTTTCTAATTGAACTAGTAAAAATAAATCTATTGATAAATTTATTAAAAAAACTCACATAAATGCTCAAAATAAAAGACTAATATTAGAATGGATTCCTTATAATAAATTTAAAGATATTATATATTTAGATAAAGGAGGATTTAGCACTATTTATAAAGCTATTTAATTAGATAGATTTATTTGAATATTATTCACATAAAAATAAAAATTGGATTAGAAATAGTAAAATTAAAATAATTCTTAAAAATTTTGATAAATCATCAAACTTAAATAAAGAATTTTTAAATAAGGTATAAAATTAATAATTATTTTGTAATTTTAAATATTTATATTTAAATTAATTTTTATTTTGTAATTTTAAATATTTATATTTTATATTAAATTAATTTTTATTTTTTTAAGTGAAAATATCATTATTCTTGTTTTAGTCAATTAAAAATCTATTAAATTGAAAATCTTATTGAATTATATAGATTTACTCAAGATCCAAATATTTTAAATTATATGACAGTAATGAAATATGTAAAATATAATAATTTAAAATAAAATTTATCAAATATAAATAAAGATAAATGGAAAATAAAAAATAAAATTATTTAAATTATGTGATATTATTGACGGACTTAATAAAATACATCAAAAAAATCTTATTTATTATGATTTTCATCATGGTAATATTTTAAATATTAGAGAAAATATTTTATTAATTAGTGATTTAGGATTATGTAAACCTATAGAATGTTTTCAATCATTTAAAAATAATAAAGTTTATAGTATATTACCATTTGTAGCACCTGAAATTTAAGAGGATAACCTTATTTTAAAGCTAGTAATATATATAATTTTCTATTATTATGTGGGAATTTATATCTGGAATTTCTCCATTGAAAAGATCAAGTATTTTAAAAATTAAAATGATTATTAAAAATTGGTTTATTAATATTAATAAAAATTTTGATAAAAAGTTTAAAATATTATAATAGAATTTTATAAATCAGATAAAGCTTTAGAACAAAAATAAAATAATAATTTATTTCATGAAATTATTATTAAATTTCATCTACAAGCATATCATACAAGTAGATTACTTAATTTTACTGAAAAATTAAATATAATTTTAGATTATAATATTGAAAAAACATAAATAAGTAAAAGTATTGGTAAATATTTTAATATTTATTAATTATTAATCTCAAGAATTTTAATTTTAATTTATTTATATATTTTTAATTATAGAGAATTTAATTATTATAGAAGATGAAATCAGTAAGTGTCTAAAAGATTAAATAATTTTATTTTAAAATAGATAAAGATTCTTAAAGAACATTAAATATTTTAAGTATATTATTTAATGAACACTGTATATATAGAGTAATTATTATATAATAAGGTGCAGTTTGTAATCATTAAATAAATTTTTATATATAAATTGTATTATAAATAAATATTAAATTATTAATGTTTTATTTTTATTTTATATTATTTTATTTTATTTTTTTTTTTTTTTAGCAAAAAAAAAGAATTTGCTTTGAATCACTACAGATTTCTCGTACTTTTTTTTTGTAATTGATAGGATTAAAAATGTTTTCTTTTTTCGCATCTAAATTTAGCAAGGAACTGCCAAGTCCCTAGCACAGAAATTTTTAATACACTTTTTTCAGAATATTCAAAAACGACAATCGGAGTTAAAGGTTTTGACTATCTTCAAATTCTCTCTTCTTTCACCTTCTAAACTTATTATTAAAAACGTCGGTTCTAAAAATAATTTGATATTTCTTTACGAAGAAGATCTTCTTTTCACAATTTTCGGATGCTAATTTACTTCATTAAATTTACGACTCTCTAGATATCCATTCATAAGGGTCTGATACATTGGGCTATTTGAATAATATTGAAATTCTTTTCTCTTGAAGTCGTGTTTGTAGAAGTAACATAATTTTGGCGATGCGAAAATTAACCATAAAATAATTCTTAATTATTCAATCTAGAATTATATTAACGAAACGCCACTTTAATGTTTGTTTAATATTAACCTTTTCAGAACATATGGGAGGTAAGCTATTAAATCACGTTACGGATCATATGAATTATTATGTTCGTAACTCGATTTTAATAGCAAACCTCCCATATATTTTCTCGACTCAAGGAATTTCGTAAAATAATGCCGAAATTATAAAAGCGACTACGGATGTTTTATTTTATTAAAAATTATTTATTTCGATAAAACTTATATAAAAACAAACTCCATAAACGACTGTGCAAACCACGTATAACATTCAGGAGATTTTACTATAAAAAATTTAATTAGGGATGTGTTCCTCATTATTCTCAATATCAATTTTACATTTTTCCCATTAAACCGACTAAATCTTTATAATATACTCGAAATTTTTATTCATTCCCCTTCATACAATATTCCAATCCCGATATTTTGTGACTGTACTTTCCTATTAACAATAGATCACAATTTTCTATGTGATTCAAGCCGGGACTGTTGGAAGGTCAATTCATAACGACAGGGACATTTTCTTACAAGAATTCCTTAGCTACACGGCTTGGATTTTTATCTTGCTTGAAACGTCAATATTTCCGCAGCATTTTGCTTGATCTCAGGAAAACGCTTTTAACATAGACCGTTCATGACCGTGACCGTTAGCTTCCCTATATAATGAGTAATAGAAGCTTCTTAAATTGAACAATATGCTTTATTATGTACTAAACTTTTGCAATAAAGATAATTAAAATGTGTCTATTGTGACAAAATCTGTTTTGAAATTTATTGTATAATCTTTGGAATTTTCAGAAGGTTTTTAATAGGGTAAATTAATAATGTAAGAGAAAATCTTAAAAAGGTCAATCACAAATTCATATATACCGTCAAAACTGGTTATAACGAACCTCATTATAACGAACACTGGATATATCGAACTCACAATTTTTAAATTTTAATAATTAGTTCGTTATAAAATGTGTAATGGTTCATAGTAATTTATATAACGAACTTTTTTTTTGTCAGTTCGTTATAAAGAGTGTTGACTGTATTTATTTATTGATATGATGCATGGTTGTGGCGAAGATTTTAGAACTATTTTTTAATAATGTTGTTAATTAAGTAAGAACTAATCAGTAATCTGACATAGAATCGATTGAGATACGATTAAAATAAAGCGTATTAAGAAAAAAAATTTTATTTTTTTTTTATTTATAATAAATCAATTTCTGGAATCTAAGAAAAATTTAAATTTTCTTTTAAAGTGTCAAGTGTTGTATCTATATAAGAAAGATTTATTAATTTTAAAGAATCGAGGATTAATTGATCATTTTACAATTTTTCGTTTGATAATAAATTTTGTAGAATTTTATAATAATCAAATATTAGAGGTTGGAACCGGTTAATTAACCGGTTAACAAATATTTTAACCGGTTAAAGAATTTTCGACCCTAATCAATATTCAATTCGTCTTATTTAATAAAACCTTATTAGCAAAACCGTCATAATAAACGTTTCGACTTTTTCATTCACTAAAATGAGTTTTTCCAGGCAATTAACTATACATTATATCATAAAAATTCAATTGTAACTAATATCTCCAAATACGCTTGAAAACTTTAAAAAAAAAATTATCGAAGAAATTTTGATCATTTGTGGTAAATTAAGACTGATTGCGATCCAGTGAACTGTATAGCAAAACTGTTGGCATATTTTCGAGCTATATTATAGAATAAAAAAACGTCAATTTTTTTATAATAAAAAATTAAACGTTTGATAAACGGTGCTCGGCTAAGCTTTAAAATATTTATTGCTCAATTGGATTAGGAAAATATATAACTTATTTAACATTATTACATTGTAAATTTTGTTTTAATATTTTGTATTTTGATGGCATTAAACCTTGCAAGTCATTAAATGGCTTGTCAATCGTTCAACTTGTTTCAATCCGTCAATCAAAGCCATAGAATAAGTAATATTTAATAGATTCCTTTTATTAATAGTGAAGTTAGAGATAAACATCACGTTGCAAACTTTAGAGAAAATATATTTATACAACTAAATTACTAATAAAAAATAATATGATAAAAATAATATCGTATCGATAATTAAATAAGTATTTTATCATGCATGCACACAATCTATTAACAATGCTGTTCCTGTGGTAAAGTATATACTATTTAGGTTACTAATTTATCAGGTTATCGCAAGTGTATTATTGAAGCAATTCATAATATGCTTTTTATTACTGCATATCCAAAATCAGTTCTTAATAAATGAGCCTTATTGGTTTCTAAATTCTTGTCTCGAAGTCCCCATGATTATAAATATTTCTTAAATCAATCTCTTTAATATACGGATCCAGAGAATTTAGCAATTCTTGATCATTTAAAATTGGCTTCATCAGTTGTTCCCAAATATCATCAAATCAATAAAATCCGGGTACATGGATTGCGACACTTCTTATTATCACTTGTTCCAAAACGATCATTCGTGGAAATTCTCGCCATTCTTCTGGAAATTCTGTATTGTGACCGTCATTATTCTTATTTTTAAATAAACTAAAAAAAACATCTTTCAGCTTTACGCTTTATTGCACTTAAATCCGTTCTTGAACTCTCAATAGATATTATTTCTAATATTTTGAATAAATTCCTTTTCTCGTTCATAATAGACAAAGGCACAAATTCTTAATTTATCTTTTTCCAGGTATTCAAGACACTTCTCCAATACAGTGGTGAATTTATCCATTAGAGAGATAAATT